TGTCTACTTGAGAGTGGAGGTCTCACACCCGGGATCCTGAGCCCAGCACTACTGACAGTGAAATTCCTCAACTCCGGGGAGGCCGTCCTACGTCATGCCAACTATTGTCTTGGCAGGGAGGAGACACAAGCATTCAACTTAGAAGGCAGAGCTACGGGGCCCACGGGCTGCCTCCTGGCAGGCTAACCCAATGCCTTCCTGCTGCCCTACCGAGAAATTAATTCAAGCAAGACACACACTCTGTCCCAGTTCCCTGAGAGAGATGCTGCCCAGAGCCATCCTCCTGCTGTGATCCCCAGGGAAGAGGGAGAACACAGAGTAAGCATGCTGCTCGACATAAATAAGAAATTACAATGAAGGAAGCTGGTGCGACTGGTGATCTAGTCGGGGGGCGTAAGGAGTTGCTGCTCCGTCTGCCATCTAAGTGCATGGCTTGCAGAATGACCTCACCTGGCTCCAGGGCGCCCACGCTGAAGCAGGCAGGGCGTGGAGTCCTGAGGAGAACAGTGTGTGTCCCTCAGAGCTCAGCTCTCCTGCGGACACCAGCACTCGGGTTCTGCCCTCTGTGCCCGGGGCAGTGGGTGAAGTAAGTTACATCCAAGACTGTCAAAGGAACACAATAAGGTTGAGGACCAAAAATGGTTAATTAATTATAAGTACTTCATAAATTGCTAATAAGTAATAGCCACAGTTCTTTCCATCAACTCAAAAGCTGGCTTTTTAAAAGAGGAAGTGGCTAGTAGAATTCTATGATAGAACTAAATGCATCCATCAAACACAGGGCTGGACAACAAGCCAATCCACATTGAAAGCCTTAATAGCGCTCTTTGCATAATTACAACATGAAAAATAAATTTATGCATTATAAGTATATAATGGAAGTCAAAGTATACATTAAGCAAAAGAATCCACACTTGCGTGACTTGATTAACATGCCCTGTGCTTCTAGCCCCAGTGCTGGCTTCAACGCAGGGCCACGTGGACACGTGCTGAGTCACTGTGCAGCCGTCTCGTCCAAATCTGTCAGAAAGGATCGACCCATGTGGAAGTGGCGCAGCTTTTATCAGTAATAGATGGGCATGTGGGAAGCATGCTCTCTGCCTGAGCAGCCTCAGGCCTGCCCCACAGCCGCAGCAATAACCAAAGGACCGGCAAAGACTGGCGTGTCCAGGGAGCCAGAGAGGACGAGCTCCTCGCCCAAGGCCACGGCCCTCATGGTGAGGAAGCACCGCTGGGCTCTTGCAGGCTTGCAGCCTCCAGCTGAGCAGCCTCAGGACAGGTTGCTCGGGCTGAGACTCGGTTCCGTCTCCCACTCAAGGCAAATTATCCCTGTCTCATTTGGAGGGTGGTTTCTAGATGTGAGTTTGTAGAGAGCAAATGAAGCATCAGACGCATACAGTGACTGTTCTCTCTCCCGTCCACTCCCCAGTTCTAGCAAAAAGCAAAGAACTGCCTTGTGCTCTGCCAAAAATAAATTGTTTCTGTTGTGCAAGAATTTCTACAACAATGCCATGGATCTTCTCAGCAGCGAAGGATTACCTAAGCCATGCAGCATGATGATGCTGTTCTACTTCTAACCAAAACTTACATGAGGAGGGGTTGCTCAATGACTTCTGCAGGTAATTACCAGAAAAGTGCACATCAGCCTCAGTATGATGATGGCAATCTCCATGACATAAATAAAGGTTACTGTACTTTTACACTGGTAAATAGGTACAGAGTCAACAAATGAGATGGAAAAATATACAAGCCAGATGCTGGTAGTTCTGGATGAGTTCACTGAATAAGAAAATACATGAGCCTTGATTCACATGTTGGTGATCAATCCTACAAATGAGGTCTGCTATACATTTGAAAACGCTGCTATACATATTGGGAAATGCGGGCTCTCCACTGCGTCTCACCCCGCGGAGCAGGACTTCACTACCACAGAGCAGGGAGCTCCTGCGGCATTTCTCGCCCACTCATAGACGAAGCCTCGGCTCTAGCAAAGCTGCACAGATGTCCGTTTGAAGCCAATGTTGGCGCGCGACTGAAGGCAAGGACGCTCAGCACCCTCCTCCCTTGGCCTCCTGAGCAAGGGGCAGGGAGGAGCCGCGCCAGCTGTGGGCTGCGGCCCACAGAGCCTGCCGAGGCCTTCGTGTGTGCGTGCACGGCGAGCAGAGGCGAGCCTGCACTATGCGAGCCAGGGCGCCTGCATCTGCCAGCGGTGATGGGACGGCGTGGGTGGAGAGGCCCGGGAGCCGACGCGCCTGCTCCTCCACTTCCCTCTTCTACTTCTACCAGTCCTAACTTTTCACTTAGGTGCTTTCAACTGCTCCAAGACTCAGCTTTCTCAAGACTGTTGGGAAAATGGGCCTGCCAGATAGCTCAGCGGACTAACGTGCCTGTTTGGCAGAGCGCAGAGGCCAGGGTTCGATCCCACGCTTGCCGTGCCAGCCCAGCCCCTGGAGCGCACTGAGATGGTGATTGAGACTGGGCATGTTAGTGCGAGCCTGTAATTCCAGCGCTTGGCAGGCTGAAAACAGGAGGACCACTATGAGTCTCATCTACGTAGTGAGACCCTGTACTAAATACATTTAAAAAAAAAAAAAAAAGACTATTGGAAAAAAATAACAGAATTTTTCTTCTACTAGAACAAGATTATGTATATAAAATATGGTGGTAAATTCTGGTTTTTCTTTAAAGAAATTAAGATTAAGTGTGTAAAAACCAGGAGAATTTGAGAAAAGAAGGAAAATATATTTCAATTTTTTTCCTTTGCTATTGTAGGTGCACCCAGAGACTCAGGCATGCTAAGCAAGTGATATTCCACTAAGTACGCACCAGCAGCACCATCTGGGTGTTCCCTGCGTTGAAAACACAAAACTGATGCTGACATGTTCCGGGTGGTGATGAGAGTTCTGCGCTGCCTGGCATCCTGGTTTGTCCAGAGCCGCGGATTTTCTTGCCCTCCTTGAAGGTCTGATCCTCCGCCGAGAACGCCTCTGTGGTTCCTGATTGTCCCTGTAGAGGAGGGTAGGGACAGAACACAGCTGCTCGTCGCCCCTTCTCAGGGATCCGGGGACACCTGAAGCCATCGTGGCCGTCGCCCCTTTCCGCCAGCTCTCCCCTCCCTCCCCCACACCAGTCAGCGACTGGTGTTGAGCCGTGATCCTCGCTGAACGTCTGCGAGGCTTGCTCCGCTGTCGGCTTCTGTCCTCCCTTGGCCTGACTGCTCTGGAAGCACCACTGTGGGCGGGAGCCGCTGTCTGTCCTCATTTCAGGTGCGCGGCTCCCTTGGTGGCCACAGCTCCGGGCTGCGCCGTGCGCTTAGGGACGTCGCCTCATGCGGAACCCGGCTGCCGTGCTCCCCCGCAGCACCCAGTCCTCCCAGCCCTGAACGCGTTCCTGCTGCCCAGCAGGGCAGCTGTGCGGTCCACTGATGGTGCCTGGGAGAGGACTCTCCTGGCGCTGGCCCTGCACGCACATGAGCTGCTCAGTGCGGAAACAATAAAGTCCACACTGGCTGCAAGGGTGCGTTTTCAGTTAGGTCTCCACGTGGAGGTACAGTGGAGTCGCAGCTTTGGAGAGTCCGCAGATGAGCTGGCGTGTCCCTTTCCCGGCTTCTCAGCGCAGGTCTCCTCGGGAGCTCCCTGCCCGCCCCGCGGGTTTGCTCAGTGCCGCGCGGTGGAGCACGGTAACTGCTCAGGGCCTTCACCGGCTGCGTTCACGTGTGCATTGTAAGTGTGCGTGGCTGAGGGGATTTCTCCCTCAACTGTGCCGTTAAACAGTTAAGAATAATGCTTAGTTCATAAAAAGAGACGCTAAAGTGGAAAGGTTTTCCCAGCCTATAAGTTTCTAAGTCTGTAACTAAGGAACAATCTCAGTTATATCTCTCACTAGCATCTTGTAGCCCCCTGAATTTCTTATTGTTTGTTTGCTTGTTTTTGCTAAACATTTCAAATTAGAGGAATACAAATATTTTTAAATTGTTGAAATAAATAGTGGACACACTCCAATGAAAGCATACCTCTGGGCCTGCAGAGATAGCTCAGCGGTCTAAGCACCTGCCTAGGCAAAGGCAAGGACTCGGGTTTGATCACTGGCACCAAAGCAGAGCTGGCCCCGGCCCCCAGGCACGCTAAGTGTGCTGCTGAGACCAGGCGTGGTGGCACATGCCTGTAATCCCAGCCCTGGGGAGGCTGAATACAGGAAGATCACTACGAGTCTGAGCTGTGTATTAAAACCATATGCCAAATACATTTTAAAAAAAGAAAGAAAGCATCATTAGTAAATTAACTTAAAAGAAGCCCATCCAAAAAGTGACTCCTGAGATGGAGAGAAATGGACACTGAGAAGCACCAGATGTCCTCATATCCTGGTGGCTGAAGCGGCCTCCAGTGCCCTTTGGCTGACTACACACCAGACACAAACCAAGGAAGGGGCAGGAAGGCAGCCTACCACGTCCACACCATGCTCTGTCCTCCGTCACTGTGCCAGGGCACAGGCCAAGGGACATTTGGATGGAGGGTAGAACAAACCAGGGCAGAGTGCCCCAGATTTTGCTTCTGTTTATTCCCAAGTATACAACAAAGTTGCAATCACAGCAAAATTTCTAAAATGTTGTTTGATTTAAGGCTAGAGGAGGGAATTATTTTTTCTTTATACTAACTTTGGACATTATATAAACTATCTTGATCTTAAATGTTTGACTAAGGGCGCCCAGCTAGCTCAGTCAGTACACCATGAGACTCTTAAAGGTTTGGCTAGATTTAACTTCTTACAAGCTTTTCATGGCATTGAAAAGAATAATTGGAAATATTCAGGCCTTGGGAAAATGGAGTCCATAACATCCGTAGTCACCTTTGTGTGAGAAAGTCTGAAGAACACAGAGCTTCTCAGGTTCAACGATGAATACCTGTCTTGACATCCTCCCTGGTGCATTTCAGAAACTGTCCAAATGCCTAATCCTCAATCACTAAGGACTTCCTAACCCATATTTTCTCTACTGATAATTGTCATCCCAGCACTCTTCTCAGGGCCCCCAGGACCTCCTTTTCCTCAGGCTGTAGATGAATGGGTTCAGCAGGGGGGTAACAACAGTGTAAACAACGGCCACCACCTTATCCTGGGCAGGGTCATGCAAGGAGTGCGGCCGCGTGTAGATGGACAGAGTCGTCACATAGAAGAGGCTGGCCACAGCCAGGTGCGAGGAGCACGTGCAGAGAGCTTTGGTCTGTCCTGCGCCTGAGCGCATCCGGAACACGACAGCGAGCACTTGGCCGTAGGAAGCCAGGATGGCCAGGAACGGCAGCAGCAGGATGACAAGTCCGCTCAGGAGGATCGTGTGCTCGTACTGGGAGGGGTCCTGACACACCAGGGGCAGCAGAGAAGGAACTTCACAGAAAAAGTGGTTCACGAGCCGAGAGCCGCAGAAGGGAAGCTGGAAGACGTACAGCGTGTGGATCACGGCGTTGGCAGCGCTACCGCACCACGCGCACAGGGCCAGGCTGCAGCAGACCTTCTTGCTCATGAGGACGGGATAGCGCAGAGGATGGCAGATGGCTACGTAACGATCGTAGGACATGAAGCCCAGGAGAACGGCTTCCGCGCCACCAAGGCTCAGGAACGGGAAGGCCTGAACCTCACAGCCCAGAAATGTGATGGTCCTGGTGTCCGTCAGGTAGTTCGTTGCCATCTTGGGCATGGTGGTGGAGATGTACATCATGTCGATGAGGGAGAGCTGGCTGAGCAGGGAGTACATGGGCGTGTGCAGCCTGCTGTCCACGCGGATGAGGTGGACCAGGGTGGCGTTCCCCAGCACGGCCACCGAGAAGAGCACGACGATGGCAGCAAAGAGGACAGCGTTCCTTCTGCCGTACTGGAAGAGGCCAACAAGCACAAGATCTGGCCGCAGACTGTGGTTCCCTGCTGTCCTGGCTTAAGGGGAATTAGCAAAGCAGACATTGATGAGGAGTCCATGGGCTCCTTGTAAAAGAAACAAAACACCGTAATTAAATATAACTAATATTTCATAATCACTTTATGCCTACATCGTTTTATCCTGTTAGGTAAAATAAACCTGCCTACACTGAAATACAGCCATTTTTACATTTCTTTTTTTTTTTCTACATAGCAGCAGTAGATATTAATGGGGCACATGTAATGTTTCAACCCATGTATACAGTGAGTACAGTCAAAGGAAAAAAACACTCTCATTAGCATTGTTGGTTCTGTGGGGAACTTAATATTTTCCCCTTTTGGGTCTTTCAACTCCTCATTTGAGCAATTTATAAGTTCCAACAGCAAAATGAAAACAAAGATGTTTCTTGAGAGCAAATATATATATTTGTAATTTTGTAACATTTTAATTATGTGCTTACAAATATTACATTCTCCAGTTGTGCATATTTTGTGGTGATAGATTAAATGATTATTCACTAATGAAAATATTCTACTCAGATCTTTCCTGTAAGTAGCACTATGTCAAGTTAGAGTTGCTGCATCATGCTATAATTTTTAATGAATCGATAGTCTTTATTTTACTTGCATAGGTTATAAACAAAAATAAAAGCTATAATAATATTTACTTAAACATCATACTGTAGTCCTTAGGAGCTATGAGTAGATGTACATTGTTTTTATCATAAAAATAAGTTAAAGTTCACAAGCTTGGCCAAACCTGTTGACCAAAATAAGAGCAAGCCTTAAATGAATCATCCAAATTTGCCTTAACATTTATAAGAGTCTCTGCCAAAAGGAGGCTAATAAAGATTAATTAATTCAAAGGTAAGAACTGAAATTTTTGTATTTGCTTCTGACACAAATTTTTGCTTTTACTCATTTTTCAGAGTAAAATAATGTCTTGTTAATTACAAACATAATGTCTTGTTATATTACAAAATTATAGTGTTATGTTCTACAACTATAATGCGATGTAGCCTAGAACACTAGCCACTCTCAGGAGTTACTGGGTCTCCACTACAGAAGCAGCACAGTGGTAATTTTTCATTTTCAAAAGATTATCTAGTTACCATGTTTTGGCTGAAAGCCTTCATTCATGTAAAATATTTAAAACTGAAGGGAATAATCTTGATTTACTATTCAGCAGTTTAATTATGTTTTACGTAAATCAAATTCTTTTTTGTTGTAGTTGAAAGTACTCTAACATTACTAACAAAAAAATCAATGAAGAATTATTTAAACTATGATAATAAAATAGTTATAGTCTAAAAATATTGTAATAACTAATGTTCCATGTCACTAACTATATAAAAAATAAATAGCACCAGGTGGTAGTCCTTAGTGCAATCCATGAAGATTCAATGTGCACTGCAAACTACCATTATGTAATTATTTTCTCCAATTGTACAATTATTCTGATAAGATTATAGAATAAACAGGTTAAGCTGAAAAGGGTTGATGTTTAAGAGTAACAGAATAGAAATCCAAGATTTTATAGCTATTAATGAATACAAACAATTCACCAAGATAGAGAAAGAAGAGAGGAAATGATTACAGTTAAATAGAAATTATGCACTAAAATGAACTACAGTGTCAAAATACATATCCTGTGTTACACAAAATGCTTCATTATTCTATTGAGCAAACTGCTTTAAAACAGAAAGAAAATCTGCAATGTTTTCTAATTATTTAAAGAATTATTTCATCATAACGGAGTCTCTAAATTTACTAGTATTTACTTCCCTCAAAAATGCATGCACAATGAGTTTTAAGAAATTTCCAGAAGGGTTTCTAAAAGCAATCCCCACAACTAGTGAATATATTACATCTGAATGCTTTACAGCATGAGGGAAATAAGTGACCAGACTGAGTAGCTGAAAAGATTGTGACTAGGTGAAAAGGAAACAAAAGAGGCTGTAGTACGCGAATCGCCCGGCTCAGTCCAGGTCAGAGCTACTTAAAAAATAACCTCAGTGCTGTTCGGAGATAAAGCTACATCCTTAGTTGTGTCTAACATACATACCTTGACCCTTGGCACATTTTTACTTGTCTACTCATTGGGCACGAGCTCTTACAGTTTTCCTGCCTGTTGCACAGACAGCTTGATCGCAGGACCCTTTTCTTGAGAATCATTTAAATACGAAAGGCATCCCTGGTGCAAACCTGGGAAACACGAGGAGGCTTTCGAAGAGCAGCTGGGAGTGATGAGCGCCTCCCGCGAAAGGAGAAAACGTTGCAGGAGCGGTCACCTGAGGAGGTACCGTCCCACGGTAGCAGGCTGTCCCACGTCAGCAGGCTGTCCCACGTCAGCAGGCTGTCCCCACGTCAGCAGGCTGTCCCATGTCAGCAGGCTGTCCCCAGGTCAGCTGTCCCACATCAGCAGGCTGTCCCATGTCAGCAGGCTGTCCCCAGGTCAGCTGTCCCACGTCAGCAGGCTGTCCCACGTCAGCAGGCTGTCCCACGTCAGCAGGCTGTCCCACGTCAGCAGGCTGTCCCACGTCAGCAGGCTGTCCTAAGAACGAAGCTCTGACTTGTATTATATCTTTCTATTTCTATTTCTCCTCTTGAGTTCTTATACTAGGGAGACTATACGATATTTACACATGTGTGTCTGGTTTATTTCACTTATGAGTATATGTTCAAGTGGCATCCTCTTCAATATAAAGGCTTGCAGTTTATCATTCTTAATAGCTGAATAATACTCCATTGTGTAAAAATACCACATCTTTCTCAACCATTCCTCAGGTGATGGGCATCTTGGTTGTTTCCAAGATTTGGCTATCACAAACTGTGCTGCTATAAACATAGGCACACATATATCCCTATGATATGATGATTTCAGATCCTCTGGGAAAATTCCCAGTAGAGGAATAGCTGGTTTAAAGGGGATTTCCAGTCCAGCTTTTCTAAGGAATGTATGCAATGTGTTAATTATTGAAATTGTACTACCAATCTGGTTTGAAAAAAAGAGATATTATGTCTGCATCTTGTCCTCTGAATAACTACTATGAAGACAACAATATGCAACGCATTAATTATTGTAACTGTCCAACTAACCTGTTTAGCAACTGTTTCACTGTTATTTTTTCCATTAAAATGAATAAAAATTTTTAAAAAAGGAACGAGGCTGTTCACAGTGCCTGCTGAGCATCGCTCAGAGCAAGCTGTCGGATGTTTGAGACCTTGAGGAAGTCCAGAAGCTAGGCCTTGCGGCCCTTCCCAGCGCGCAGCACCTCGCAGGCGCACGGAGCATTCTGCGGCTCCACCGCCTCCGCAGGACGAGGCCTCCGCGCCGGTTCGCAGGCAGCCCACGCGCGGCTGCGCTCCAGCTTCCTTGTCTTCCTCTAAGCTCTCCAGCTGCGCCAGCTGCCTGAGCACAAGTCAGCTCTCGCGGCGCCGAGCACGGGAGCTGCTCCACCCAGCCCGGAGTCCCCGCCACCGGGACTGTCACACGCAGGTCCCCACTCGTTTGCACTAAGTATTACAAATTGTTAACTTACTTTTATTTTTGTAAGAGACAAAATTTAATATATGCACTCGGTTTGATATATGATGCAGCATCACACCATGTAGGGCATTTACTCTCATACATTCAGATGTTTGAAACACTTCTGAAGGCTACAAAAGAGAAAACAGAAAAATAAGCAGGAATATATTCAACACCTAAAAAGTGACATTATGAAGAATATAAAGTACTATTTTCCTCCCAACACTTCAAAAGATATGTACATATACTTTTACGTTACAAGTAACACCACCAATGATCCCGTCTTCACATGCCTAAGTATTATCTGTACTCAGTGTAAGGCTCTTACCATTCTGATCCATAGATTTTTCTAGCCCTGTAACAATGCAATTTTCAATCCATTCAGGTAAATTCAACCCCAAAGCTGCTGCTTCCCAGCAGTAAGACATGCACTCACCTCTCTTGTAAGATTTTCTAAAACTTGTTTCTTGGGGGGAAAATCTCTATTAAAAAATCCCTATTAGTGGGAGAGTAAATGGCTGACACTGGTAGCAAAGCCTCAATTCTTTGATGTTAATATACTGGAAGTGAATCATTTTCATGTTTTAAAACAGGAACAATAGCATTTAGACAAAATAGGAAGCAAAATACAGTAAACAGAAATAGTGTCACCAAATCTGCATTCTCTTCAGCTACACAAGGATGGACTTTGCTTAGTAGTATCCATACATGAAAAGACAAAAAGTTTACCTAAAACTGAAGGTAAAATAAATGAGGCAAAAATAAATATTGGTAGTTTATGGGATGACTGAGTATTTTCTAAACCAGAAAGTGGTTAGAAAGGAACTTTTTTGTACCACATCAATCATAAGCAAGTTTGCAGTTCACAGGCATCTTAGTCCAGCCTTGAGTCGCAAAAACCAACACACTGCAAGAATGAGAGTTGCGTCAAATAAGCGTCTCAGCAGTGCGGTTTGGGGAAACCTCCCGCCAGATGAAGACAGGGTCTGAGCTTAGGTCTGCTGTGAAGATGGCCTTGTGGGCTACCGAGAAACACGAGGACCACCCAACTGTCAGCATCCTGCTGTCGAGGAGCACAGAGGGCAAGAACCGAAGATGTGCTTGACAGAAAACGAGCGACGAACAGACATACACACAATACTGAAAGAAGTGAGGGCTGGGCTTGACCGACTTTTAAATGCTCTGAGACTGAGGAAGATGCATCTGTCCTTCACCCAATTACAGTAAGGACTGAAGCCTCCTTCTGGAAGCTGTGGGGGGCTCACAAGGCAGGGCTCCCCACCCACGACTCTGAACGACAGCGCCCGCTGATCCGCGTAGCTCCCAGAGCTATACAGCTCAGTTCATAAGGCTGAAGAATTGGATCTTGCAAGCGCCAAATAAATGTACCATAAACATGGACTCTCAACCTGAGAGCTGAGAGAGATGCACCGAGATGAGCCTTTAAATGCCTTCCAGACGCCGAGAACCTCCTCACCCCGAGGATTCCTCTAATGTTCCAACCAGCTTCCAAAGGCCTTTCTTCATTAGAGGAAATAATCCTGAATACAAAGACCATAAATCAGTGTAAAGGCACTGCGTGGAGCATGCCATATGCAGCAGTGTATTCAACACGCTGAGATTTCCAGTCCCAAGTAGTCAGAACTCAGCTCCCTTCAGTTAGGTTACGGAGTAGACCCTTAGTTTCAGTTAAACGGCTCAATATCAAGAACTTTTGAAACTGAGTTTCAAACCAAGCTCAGGATATTTGGCAGAAAGAAAAGCAGCTCTAATTAGTCTTCAGATGAAGACAGACTTGAGAACGTACTCCCTACTCCTGGCCTCTTCGGCTGAAAGTCAGCATTTCTTATTAATTAGCCCTACCCAGCGTTCATAGTCATTTTATCAAACATTCACAGCCAGTTACACTTGCGCTTATTTCCATCCTAATGAGGCCTATTCTGGTGCTCACCTCACGCACAAACACATCTGCACACTTAACCTCCAAGCTTACCTTGCATCTAGAATTTTACTTTCATTACACACCCTTTAGAATGATTTAAAGATGAGTTAACTCATTACAGAAGATGAAAACAGAGAAAGGTAGAGATCTAGAAGAAAGGGACAAATTCAGTACAGCCCCAAACAACAGCAGGTGCACACGTTCGCGGTCTCTCAGCAGGCGTCCCTACAGCAGCGCTGGATGTACAGCTCGCTCGGAAGTAGCCCTCATGCAGAACTGAGCAAATCAGTAAAATAGTCCAGCTCACTCTCACACACTTCGGATACAGCACACACCTGGAAGCAGTGTAAATGAGACTAGTCACAGAGAGGAAGCAGGGCAGCACGGCCTCCATCTGATTCGTCCTACAGCAGCATGTGTTCAGGGTAGAACGGAGAGAACGCACACACACAGCCCGCCACCCCCTGGCCTGAGCTAGGGTGTGCGTCTCTCTTCGGGAAGGGCAGGCATTTAATCTCCACCCCTCCACTGCCATGTACATCACTTCTTGAGCTCCTCCTGGCAGCTCTCTGGATCCACCGGCTAAACTTTGAGCCAGAGACAGCGATATTGTGCCTCTCTTTTTCTAGATTTCATCATTTAAGTTTAGCCAAATAATGGAGGTAAGTGGAGCTGGGGCAGCAGTACAAGAACCCCTGCAACTGTTCAGGCACATGAGGCAGTGGATGGCGCAGAGGTGGTAGGGTCTGTAGCTAGATGTCCCCACACAGCCTTACGTGGCCACGGCGGGGCTTCCCACAGGTGCTGGGTGATGGGGACAAGGACGGAGGGCCTCCCCCTCAGTCTTCTACTCCTTTACTCTATGTCCTGACCACCACAAAGTGAGCAGATTTTCTGCAGCCAGGCCCTTCCACTGTGTCATCATGGCCAGGACCCAGAAAAAGATGGATGGAACTAGACCCCAAAATGAACCCCGCCTCCTTTACGGGTGCCAGATTGATTCCCAACAGTGAGAAACTGTCAGGCAAATCATATTCCTCAGTGAACAGGACTACTGGAAATGTCAAGGGGGGGGCAGGGAGATGGCTCAGCAGAATAAGCGCTTGCCTGGCAAGTGCAAGGGCCTGAGTTCGATCCCTGGTTCTGCCGAATAAAATAAAATAAAATAAATTTAAAATATCACCAGTTTAATTCACTGAACTGCAGTAAACATTTACTGGCCTTCATTGCACATGTTCCAGGCAAATAATCATCTCAGCATGACAGCAGATGCCATCAGAGCCCTGTGACAAGACGGGTTGGCGTCCTCTACGTTGGCGGACTTCACTCTGCACACTCTGCAGAGACTCACATGTAAGTACCAGCTGGATGATTTCCCAACAGCAGCACATTTACGGACTGAGAAAAATACGGAGGCCAGAACCTCGTCATAAAATATGAGGCCATGAAGTTCAAACTCTAAGAAAGGAGTGTTGTGCGCGATATTCCCCACCTGTATGTTCATCACAGCACTTTGCTGAGAAAGTTACCTTCCGTCATACGCTATTGCACATGATGGCAGAACAAGCACTTATTTATCTCCACTGCAAAGCATACAAATATCTTACTAATTTCTAAATTACATATTCTAACTTAAGAGAAACATTAGGAAAGCACCAAGCTATAACTGTATTTATGTTCCATTGTCAACGTGACAACATTGGCTTCGCACCAGCGAGCTTGAAGCAGTTTACATGAAGTATCTTTGTTCTTCTCAGCAACATTTGCAGGGCTTTGTACAGTTTGCTAAATGCACTTGAGTCCTCTATTATCTAGCATAATGTTCTCACATATTTATTTTCCTTTCTGTAAATTTTACACAGCTTCCTGAAAGAGACGAAGGATGTCTCCCTGTGGTCCTAAATGACAAGAATTTCATCTCTTTTAGGAAGCTGGTAATGTCACATCATGTATACATAATACATCTTATTAACCCACATATCCCTTCATGAATTCTTAGAGTATTCATATCATAACTACCTTGAGCAGAGCTGTATGATATATGGTAAAGCAAATGTATCATTGATATTCTGATCTAAAATCCTTCGGACTCAAAAGTGAGATTGGTAAATCTATGGGAGTTGTAGTTTCGCTTTTTGAGAAACCATCTCTCTATATTCCTAAATGGCTTTGCCAACTTATATTCTCAACAATTTATAAAATGTGCCCTCATCAACAACACTTTTGGCTTTTTAATTACACATAACATCTTTGGTACTTATATTGCATATCTTTACCTTAAACTAGTTGTTCAGATTACCAGATATAAGCATAAAAGTTGATCAAAATTATTAAGAAGAAGAAAATTGAGCACTGCCTACTCCTTTCTGTGGATCAGTAGAAAGCAGCAGCACAATTACCCGAGGCAGCCTCTGCATCTGCGTGTGTCTTTCCCTTCATTCCCTTTTCCCTTACTCCGTACCTCACCCCAGTTGTTCCTTCCCTTTTAACTGTTTATTTCCATTCCCAGTATCCATTGCACCTTTTGCATTTTATTTCCTCTTTCAAAAGGTTCTTACACTCTAGAGACATGATATTTATACAGTGGGTCTGATGCATGACCCTTATTAATGTGATCTCTATTTTTATTTTAATTTTGTAATAATAGATTGCAAATTGAAAATAAATTATTTACAAACATAAATGAATATAACAATAAAAAACTGTCCAAAATAAAAATGAAGAAAGAATTTACAGATCAGTCATAATAGTTCACTGTGTCAAAACCAAGAAACTTATATTCATATAATTAGAATTCTCAAA